GGGGGGGGGGGGTGCCCAGCCCTGTCTCCTCAGGGCCAGCTATTGCCCCGGGTGGCCCTGGAAGTGTATCAGGTTGACATGGGGCCCTCACTGTAATGTCCCTGCCTGTCCCGCACGTGCCAGTCCCCCTGACAAAGCTCCCCTCACCTTCCTTTCCACACTCCGGCCGGGCGCCCCGACCCAGCGTGCCCACGGTGCGGTTCAGGGGTGCTTCCTGCTTCCCTGCCCTGTCCCATTGGCCGTGCCAAGGGGCCAGCTGTGCACCGGGCCTGGGACGCCGTACATGATCTTGGTGTGAGTAAGCCCTGGTGTCTGCACGCTGAGCGTTGGGATGGGTCCCAGTGGCAGGAATGGGGAGGCACTGGATGCCTGGGGAAGGGGCCAGGTCCCCTTCAGAGGCAGCCATTCGTTATGTGGCAGGTGCCTCCCCCTTGAGAGAGACGAGGGACTAGGCCCAGGGGAAGAGGGGGGGTGATTCTGGCTGCAGCGTGCGGGCCTCTGGCCTGTGACACGTTGACCCCGAGGTGCAAGAAAGAAGTGGAAGCTGAGAGTCCTGTCTGTGGTGATAAAGGACTCGGTGTGTTATGGTCGATGGACGCAGGTGTGGCGTCTCTGTTGGTTTGGCGTCTTGGGCAGAGACGTCAGTTTGGCTGTGGTGTCGCTGGTTGCCACGGCGTGCTCTTCTGGGCAGGCCGACCCGATGCCCCGGTGCTTGGGCACAGGGAGATGCCCCTGGCACCTGCCATCGCGGAGGCGCAGCACTTCCAGGGCAGCACTTGGCAGGCCGGCAGGGGCGGCTCTGGCGGAGACGGGCAAGCGGAATACGCAGCGGTGGCGGAGTAGCCACTCCGCGAGGCCCCCTGACGGCCCGTCCTCTCCGCAGCCCCGCTCAAAGGCATCCCAAAGCAGGCGCCCTTCCGAAGCCCCACCGCCCCCAGCGTCTTCAGCCCCGCGGGGAACCGCACTGCCATCCCGCCGTCGAGGACGCCCCTGCGGAAGGAGAGGGGCGTGAAGGTGGGCGTGTCCCCTGGCAGCCCCGCTCGCGCGGGACCAGCCACGCTCCTTCCGTGGGGCTGAGGGTGGACTTCTGTCTGTGTCGGCAGCTCCTCGACATCTCCGAGCTGGATATGGTTGGGGCCGGCCGGGAGGCCAAGAGGAGGAGGAAGACCCTGGGTGCGTATTGGGGCCCGTCTGCCCGCGGAGGTCCCGGTCTGCCGAGACCGAGACCGCCTCCGGCTGGAGAGGGGCGAGCCTGTGGGGCAGCCCTGTCCTCAGAGTCGCCGCTGCCGCCTCGGGCCGGGAGGGCCACCGCCTGGGGCGCTGAGACCTGTGCTCTGCCCGCAGACGCAGAGGCGGTGGAGAAGCCAGCCAAGGAAGAGACGGTCGTGGAGAACGCCACCCCCGACTACGCGGCCGGCCTGGTGTCCACACAGGTAAGGGCTGCAGGGCTGCAGGGCCGCGGGCGGCCGGAGCACGTGCCCCCGTTCCCAGCGTTAGCCGCGGAGGCGCGTCCCGTGGGAGCACACACGCTGGACGCACACATATGTACGTGGACACACGCAGAAGAGGTGGCGCCGGCAGGGCGCTGGCGTGCCCGCGGGCCCGGGTTTGCACAGCGCCACGCGCTCAGGGCTCCTCGGCGTCCCCTGTCCCGCAGGCGTGGTAGGGCGGCCTTGCGGGAGGCCCCTCGCTGCCGGCGCAGCCTGCCTGGAGGGGCTGGGCAGCCAGGCGCCGTGTGTCGCATGGGTCATTTCTGGGTGGTGGGAAACTTCTCATTGCAGAGCTGTGTTTTCTTACTTTATTGAAAGGAGTGTCTTCCTTTTTTCATATGGTTTTTGTGGTTTAAAAAACAAAACAAAACAAAAAGGATTTCTTCTTACCTCAAAGATGGCTGGTTTGGGAGGGTCCCTAACCAAACAGGGACAGCCTTGCCCTGCCCCGCGCCCTCCCAACAAGGCAGCTCCAGGATGGGGGCGGCGGCAGGGCCGGACGCTTGGGGTCCAGCACTGCTGAGCGCGGGGCCCCTGGCCTGGAGCCCTCTCCATCCCTGGGGACAGCAGTGCCCCCGGTCCTGCTCCCGGGGGTGGGGGCCCTCCTGTGGGGCTGGAGGTTCGGGTTCGCACTGGGCCAAGACGCTGAGGCCCACAGAGGAGCCGGCCCCATCCAGGACTGGGAGAGGCTCACGCTGAGCCCCCGGGCTGCTTTTGAGAGGAACCATGGTCTCTGTCTTCCAGAAACTCGGGTCTCTGAACAACGAGCCTGCGCTGCCATCCACGAGCTACCTGCCGGCTACGCCCAGCGTGGTCCCTGCCTCATCCTACATCCCCAGCTCCGAGGCCCCGCCAGGTGAGCGGGCACCCAGAGCGGGCAGCACCCACCAGGCAGGGAGCAGCATCTTCCCAGGACTCGCCCACGTGGTGCTTCCTTGGGTGTCAGGACCTCTGCTGGTGCCACCGGGGCCGGAAGACCCTCCTGCCCAGCACGAGCTTCGCGAAGTAAACCCAGGGGTTTCAGCTGCTTTGCCCTTCATGGGGCCAGACAGGCAGCGCCCCTTGTGCAGTGCCAGGTGTGAGGCCCGGTTTGTGAGTGGGAGGGGGGCTGCTGAGGTTACAGCGCCTCAGGGTCGGGGGTCCTCACGTGGTCCTACAGTTTGAGAAAGAAGGCGCGGAAGGAAAGGTAGAGGAGGATCCGTGGGTTCTGCTCCGAGGCGTTTGCTCCCCGGGCTCAGCGTCGCCTGCCCGGGGAGGGAGCTTGGCCTCGGGGAGCGGGTGGCCAGAGAGGGCCTGGGGGTCAGGCAGGCTTGCTGGGCTCCAGGAAGCAGCCCTCCGTCCCCTCGCCAGCGCCCAGGAGCCCACTAGCGCCTGGACGTCTTACCTGCTGGTCTCAGAAGGCCTGAGCCCTCTGGCTCCCGGCTGGGGCTCTCGGGGGCGTGTGCCCCGCGCCCAGAGGCGCCGCCCGGGACTCGCACCCCAGCTGCGGGCAGGAGGGCCCCCCCCACCCCCGCCCGCCCTCGCCCCGCGGGCGGCGTGTGGGCTCCGGGGCAGGGCGGGGCCCAGGCACTTCTCTCGGAGGCGGGGTCCCTGGCCCTGCCGGCCGCCCCCCAGGCCTCCCTCTGCTTGCAGCCCCGCCTGCCCGGGAAGCCAGCCTGCAGGCCAGCCGGCCCCCCGAGGAGCCCAGCGCCCCCAGCCCCGCGCTTCCGGCACAGTTCAAGCAGAGGGCGCCCCTGTACAACAGCGGCCTCAGCCCTGCAGCACCCACGCCCGCGGCGCCCACCTCGCCCCTGACGCCCACCACGCCCCCGGCCGTTGCCCCCGCCACCCAGACTCCTCCGGTGGCCATGGTGGCCCCCCAGGCCCAGGCCCAGCCCCCCGCCCAGCAGCAGCCCAAGAAGAACCTGTCGCTCACGGTAGGTGTGTGGGGCGGGGTGTGTGTGTGTGCGGCCCCGCCCGCAGCAGGGGTGCCGGCGGGGCCCAGCACCCAGCCCTGCTCCTCCACCGCAGAGAGAGCAGATGTTTGCCGCGCAGGAGATGTTCAAGACGGCCAACAAGGTCACACGGCCCGAGAAGGCCCTCATCCTGGGCTTCATGGCTGGCTCCCGAGGTGGGTCCGCGGCCGGCCCTGGGGGGGTGGGGGGGCCCTGGGTCCTGCGGGGGTTGGGGGATGACCCCGTGCCCCCAGGCCCCCCGCCCAGCGGCCCCTGCCCCCCTCAGAGAACCCGTGCCAGGAGCAGGGCGACGTGATCCAGATCAAGCTGAGCGAGCACACGGAGGACCTGCCCAAGTCGGACGGCCAGGGCAGCACCACCATGCTGGTGGACACGGTCTTCGAGATGAACTACGCCACGGGCCAGTGGACGCGCTTCAAGAAGTACAAGCCCATGGCCAACGCGTCCTAGCGCCGCCCCTGCCGGCCTGACTCGGGCTCCGGGGGCCGCTGGCCCCCGACGTGCCACCGAGTCCCAGCCCACTTGAGCTTTAGGTTCAGTTTCTCTGGGGTGTTTTGGACTTATTTTCTAAATTTTAATATGGGTCCCTTTTGTGTGATTTAAGACACTTTTTTGCATTCAGTGTTACAGTTCTGAATGTTAAACTTAGCCCCGAAAGGTGTAACTTCCTAACCTTGGCACCGGCTCTGCCTGTTAGACTTCTGTCTTTTCTCACTTTTTCTTCAGTCCCACTGACCGCGAGAGAGGGCCTTTCTTGCTCGTGCAGCCCTCTCCCCGCCCACGCGGCTGAGGGACCAAAGGTGGCGCCTGGTGTGTCTGAGAACGGGGCGGGGACGGCCGCCAGTGCCCAGGGATGGGGGATGCCAGGACACGCTCACCACCCACAGGTTTTGTATTTGTCTTTTGTACCGTTGTGAGCATTTAAGACCTGTCCTTGGGTACCTGTTTTCATTGTAAAAACTACCTAATTAAAGTTTAGCTTTTCTAAAGAAAAGGCACCAGAGCTGTGTTTCCAGCCAGCTCCACCTCTCTGCTCTGGGGCCCCAGCCCCTCTCTGGGGTGGGTGACGTTGGGGTCAGCCCAGGGGTCACTCCTGGATGATGCGGGCGTGGGGAGCATGTCAAAGGGGCCTGGGGCTCAACCACCTGCGGGGCTGAGAAGAGTCTGCAGCTTCCTCTCCCGACTCTGTCACCTTTAACGGGGGTTTGGGAGCCAAATTATAAGTAACGGGAAAAAAAGCCTTTTCCCCAAATCAGAACGACACGCACTATCTACGATACTTGTTACACTTCCGAGGCCACATTGGCCTCTCCCCAGATGTCAGGGGACTGTGCCAGATGCTTCAGAGTGACAGACCACTCAAAGTGACTGGCAGCGGGACTTCCCTGGTGCTTCCACTGCAGGGGGCGTAGGTTCCGTCCCTGGTCGGGGAACTAAGATCCCGCGTGCGGCACAGCGCGACCAAAAAAAAGAAAGAAAGAAAAGGGACTGGGGGAATGGAAGAGAGACCCAAACTTCAAAATGCAATTCCACATAAAGAAAAAAGCCTTTGAATTTTTTAATACAAAAATACTCATACACGGTCTTCCTTTCAAACACAACTTCCCACCTTAAATCCTATTTCCCCGCAACCAGCAATTCTCAAATCTACATTTCAGTATCTTCCCCCAGAAGTGAATTTCAAGTTTTTTAAGTCTGTCAAAATTGGCGGTAGCACCTGGTACACCCCTCCAAAGGCGGAGCCTGGCCGCGTTCCGTGCGACGCTGAGACACCAGTAGGCACGTTGAGGTTTCTGTTTAATTTCACATCTCAACAGGGTGCGGTGGACACGACGCCCGCGAACACAGCACTTTACTCACTCATCAAACGCTCCATGTCTCGCAGGATCGAGAGTTCGGCAACTGACGGTCGTCTGTGTTACCTTTCGTAAAAACAGGCTTATCTTTTCTTATTCCTGGACATACAGCAGTTCTAGAAGATGGCGCCGCACACACTGCAGTTTATGTGTCAGGGGAAACACTGGGAAGGCGCCGGGGCGCAGACCCGAGGGTGAGGCAGGGGGTTCCGAGCATTCTCGGAGGACGGGACCCGGGCGGGGCCGCCAGGTGGCCTCCCCGTGGTGCTCGCAGCTTGTCACCCGCTTTGGACACGCGCCCGCGACCCCCACGGAGAGAAGCGTCCCCGTGTCCAGAGGCCCGCGCTGGCATCGACACGACACACGAGGGGTCCTGGTCAGCTCCTGATGCTGAGGAATCCTGAGGTGTCTGGGCGGTTTTCGTTGTGTTTCTGCTTCACATTAACGACGAAGGGCTGAAGCTGACGTTCAGGAAAGACCGACTCCCCCGAAGCAAGCTCCCCTCAGACTCGGAGCAAAGGCCTCGGCCCCGTCGGGAAGGCCCTTCCAGCCCCACTGCTCCTCCAATGCCTTGTGCTCAGATCCATAAACTGGTTTTCTGGAGATTCTCAGAGTTAGTGTTATTTGCTCATTAGTTTAACAGTTTTTGGAAAGAGGGCGACCATATCTAAAATAAGTTTTCCAGTATCTCCTTCAGAAAAGGTTATAAAAGAATTTGGAAGTAATATCAAAGTGACTCAAAATTTTTACTACTGTCAAATACAAAAATAAGTTAATCTGCTCCCCAAAGTGCACTGCGAAACCAATTCCGATGTTCTGACTTAGGCAGAAGTCCCTTACCGGCAGGAAAGGGCGAGTGACGTCAGCCCACCCCGAGGCCCCTGGCTCTGAAGGGCGGGGCTGCGCCCGCGGCCGCTGTGCTGGCACCAGGCCTCGGCGCCCCTCGTGCCCAGCCCCAGAGCGCGCAGGCGCCAGGTTCAGGGCCTAAGGAGCATGAATCTACGTCAATCCAGTATTTTCTTAAAAGACCATTTGAGAGAAACAAGAGTTCTGAACTGAAATACCCCACGGCCCCTGCGTCTCACCGAGCAGGCGCGTTTCCAGAGAGAACCGAGCCGCCTGTGGAAGCACCAGCTGAGGACGCGGCTTGTTTTTCCTTTGGTCCTACGTCACTTGCCCCCGGGTCACCAGAGG